GCCCGACTCGAGCTGGGTCCAGAAGCCATTGTCCGCCATTTGCTGCAAGAGCAGCCTCTGTTTGTGGCGTCCGGGGCTGGCCACAAACAGGGACTTCTGCCAAAGCAGCAATGGCCATCGTAAACAAAGGGTGCTCTAGCAGCAGCCCGCAGACAGGGGCTGTTGGTGGAGCATCCTCTGTTTGCATCTAGCCCCTGCTTTGGATAGGGGCTGTTATGCGGGATACAGAGCAGCCTCTGCCCACAGCAAGCCTGGGTCCACCATGGGCAGAGGATGCTTCACAGCAGCCTCACCTGCCCACCCCCTACCGCGCTGCTACCGCTACTGCAGTGCAGGAGGAGGAGACGGTGGCACTGTGGAGACAGTGCTAGGGTGAACCGGCTTTTAAGCGGGCTCCCCTCAGAACCAGCTGCTGCTTCCCCTTCTTGCTGCCTCTGATACAGAGGCAGCAGGGGTAGGGAAGAAACATGAGTAGTCAAGTGATTGACTCCAACTACTCGCAAACATCCCTAGTGTAAACATACCCATAGTCACAAAACAGACCAAACAGAGGTTCAGAAAAGAACATTCATGGTGAACAGAAATGTTTGAGCTTTTCCTTTGATTTCTTATTTAAATACCATACAGGAGAAGAGAATGACATTTCTCAGCTAACATTTTTCTGTTGGCATCTTCTGACCTCATTTATAAATAAAGGGAATGTTCTCCAGCTGTGAAATTCAAAGGCAATCCAATCTTACTACTGGAGGGCTCCAGAACAAAGCTCTGCCTTTCTTTTCAGGCCACCAGAAGAGTTCTTTCATAGCCAAAGGAATAATTCAAAAATAAATGATTAGCATTAAGATACCAAATTGATATATTAGAATTATAAAAAAAGACTTCTCCATGTCCCCCATTAGAGAAAAAGTTTTATTTGTATTCTCGTCATTTATCAGATGACCAGAATAGCATCAATAAGGAGAGAAGCTGCTAATAGAAAGAAAATTCTCAGGTAAGAAATTTCTCATTGTGTCGCACAGCTTCACATCTCATTCATCGGTAACCAGAAGCATCAGAGAATGAACCCCATAAATTGGGGGGAGGAGATAAGCAGAGTTTTACTATATTAATAAAAATAACAATATATTAACAATAATAATAGAATAAAAGGCAGGAATCCAAGTCCCTCCCTATACAAATGAACAGCTTTATAAATTCAGGAATTACATGGGGACTAACTCAGGAGCACCTTTCCACCAAAAGATGCTGCTGCAAAGGAATGGAAAGTCACTTTGCAAATCTTCCTCAAGTGGCACTCAGATACTTTCCACCCAGTGCCTCTAGAGAATTCAGTGAATGGCTTCCCAGATGCCTACCATGTCAATTGGTATAGCATTTTTAAATCTTGCCCTCAGCAACTTTGATATCCTAAGTGGTGCTGGAACTAGGACTGCTAAAAGTGCTGCCACACCTCCGGCTTGAAATAGTAATAAGAAACACCAAATAATGGTTTCCATTACCCTCTCCTTAGCATTTTCCTAGAATCAAAGAATCATACGAGTAGAAGAGACCTCAGGAGGTCACCGAGTCCAACCTCTTGATAAAAGCAGGACCAATCCAAACTAAATCATCCCACCTTTATGAAGCAAGGACTTAAAAACCTCTGGGGATGGAGATTCTACCACCTCCCTAAGTAACCCATTCCAGTGTTCACCACCCTCCTAGTGAAATAGTTTTTCCTCCTATCCAACCTAAACCTCCCCTGCTATCATCTTGAGACCACTGCTCCTCATTCTGTCATCTGTCACAACTAAGGACAGCCTCTCTCCATCCTCTTTAAAACTCCCTTTCAGGTAATTAAAATTGAACGAGATGATCAGGACACAATTAGCATATGTAGTTCGGATACCAGAGTTATATCTCCAGAGTTTCAGCAATACTCATTTATGCCACAACACTCCAGGGATTAAAAGGTGATGATGGGACAACTATTTCCTAGGAATTGTGGAACTAGGAACTTAACCTTCAACAGAAAGATTTCTAGAGCTGTACGCATAATCTTTGCCTCCTGATAACACCAGTGTGGTTCTTGTGTGGGCATAGGAACTAACACCAAAACTTGCCTTTCCGAAGTAATTGTGACAAAAATGTCACAAGCTTGTCTATTTTATTTATTGAGATTAAATTTGGCACCTCATACTCAAATGGAGAATCCATTGTGCTTGCCTACAAAAATAATACTACAGTTTGTATCCATGCTTCTATGATGTTTGAATGTCAGAATCCAACTGAACTTCCTGGAGAAACTTCAGTGTATAGGAGTACATTAGAGTTTTGTGATTATTACTCTATTTGTACTACAACAGCATCTCGAGGTCAAAGCCTCATTGCGCTGGCACAGTGAATGAAGAACTTTCTGTTTCCCCTCACAACAAAAATATAAATTTGGCCTGATCAGTGAATAAATCAAGTGATACACACACTGTGGAATTATGTAGGAACAACTCAAACATTCATTAGGTGAGGCTTCTATGCTCCCTCACAATTCTTCGCTCCAATATATGTCATGACTTCTGTGAATAATTTCCCCGATGTCTAGGATGCTAGCTGGTGAAAGATTCAAATATCTTGCCTACAGCAACTTTGAGACCCTAAGGCCATGGCATTTTGCACGGAATGAGATTAACGGAAAGTGACCTATTAAAGGTCGCTTCGGTCTTATATGTCTATGATTTTATGAATTGGAATACTTACTCCATATGTTTGATCTATTATTTTACTATTCATAGTAACATATCTGTACTACTAGACATGGACCCAGAGTTCTAGAAATGTCCATATATATCAAACCATTCCAAAGAACTGCTAAGGGTTAGAACAAAACACATTTATTTCACAATGTACCCAATTAGTTCATTAGATCATCTATTTATTATTGTGTTATTTAATGTGATGGTCAATTCATTTACTATTTCATATAATAAATGTACCTAAATAGATTTAAATTATAGGAGTACATTAGTATAAAACTGATAAGCATTTGAGAGTGATGAATATGTATTAAGGTAGAGAAGTACAGCATGGCTCAATTGCAAAGACTTCAGATTGAGGCCTGTATGATTTTAATTTACCCCATACTCGGCTGTAGATTTAAGAACACTTGCCATGAATTGGTGATCTAGGAATATCCCTATGCCAGTAAGGCTGCAAAAATACTTTAAGACAACGTGACAATAGGTAACGTTATGGAAAGAAGACTACAAGAAACCAGAATGTATTGTCCAAGACCACAAAACACCTGATTGTAACACCATGGAGTGGTGTGCTCCATGGCCATATTTTGTGCATAGATGCTAATGAAAATAAGAGAAGGTAAGAAACAACCTTTGAAAAATGAGGCAGTACAATACTCAGAGCGTAGAAGTACAAAGACAGAAAAGAGGGTTGAAACTCTCAATCATATATAAAAGGTTCTGGGAGTGATCAGAGCAATATAAAGTATGTTTCCAGGTTCGGTTAAAAAAAAAAAAAACCCCAAACAAGAGGATCCCAAAGAATGCCCCTTAGAAACTGTAGCAGGAAACATGCCATTATTGATGATCATCTCTTGAGAGATTCATCAGACCCTGAAATATCTTTGAGAATATGAATTTGACCACAGTCTTAATCACTGAATGTTTATTTTTAGGATTTATATAAGCACAGATAATTCGAGCCTTACTAATTGCTTTAATAAAGCTTGTAGTGCAGATAAGATTTTGTACTTGTTATATCATGTATATTATCACTATCCTTGGTCTTCATGTGTTCCTGCAGTCTCCAAATTTGAGAAAACTACAAGGGGTGATTTTCACTTTGTTGTGTTTGAAACTATAGCAACAGTAATGGTAATTTAATAATAAAAAAATATTACACTGATTTTAAATTTAAAAAAGTAGACACACCCACCTTCAACAGAAAAATGTTCAGAGATATAATATTTTCCTCGCAACAGAAGTGGGATTATTGTAGAGATTAGGGAACAAATTCCAAAACCTAGCATTTGGAAGTAATGGGGCCTAGATAGTCCAACAACCGGTTTGTCTAATCTGTTACTCTGATTAATCTAGACACCTGATGACAAAGTTGATGTACTTATCTACAAACACCATCAAGGCTCGTATCCAGGATTTTGATTGTTGCTGTACAATTCCAAACAACCATTCTGGAGAAACTCTATGCAGCTGAGATCTCCAGAATTGTGTGATTATTGCTCTATTTATATTGTAACTAAATTTGGAAGTCAGGGCCCCATTCTGCAGGGTACTCACAATCAGTCCTTCCCCCACAGAGCTTTATGTTTCCCTTCACATTAGAAACAGTTTGACCACATCAATGAATGAAATGCCCTTAAAAATTCTATCTGGATTCCAAGATGTCTGAGGGGCTAATGGAGGAGCCTTGCTGAACTACAGTTCTACTTTGATGCCCAGGCTGTTAATTGTTTGATCTCTAGATCCAATTGAAGGTACAATCCTTTGAGAGGTCTACTAATTTCCACAAGTGCCATGTGAGCTCTCTTAGCTTGGGCTAACAAGTTCAAAGAGCCCTTAGGGGCAATCAAAGATTAAGATGGATCATTTTCCTCTTTTATGTATCCTTTATTTGAACTGTCTTAAAAGACGGTAGATTTCTCGGCGCCCAGGATATTATTTTGATTGCCACGGAGAGGGCTAAGTTTCTAGTTCCTTTCTGGTTTTGCAAGCATTTTAAACATCCATGGCTCAAGCAGATGGTGCCAGCAGACAGTATACAAAACCTAAGTAAATCAACATATCAAAAAATGTACTACACGTTTTTAAAATGTATGTATGTACTTGTCTATTTATAGAACAGTGGAAGAAATAATTATATACAACCTGCCCGGCTGTCCAAAATGCAAGTCTGAGCTGTCCTTTAACAAGCTTAATATAGGTTTGTTTCTTTTTTAAGAATAGCTGTTATATTGCAGATTAATAAATACAGGAAAAAGGAGAACTAACCCTGTAGAGGGGGTGGCATTTGTCCTTGAAACATGGTGTCAAACGAGCATAGATTTGCAGGCTATAGTAATAACTTGCCAGCTGGAGACATAAAGCAGAATGTGACTGCTTTTCAAAGCACTTGTTGGCATCTACCACCTAGGAGATTAAGAACATACATGAAAGAATTAACAAGTTTATAATAAATGCACAATCTTTCTAGATGCTAGTCTTGACCTATAGTTTAGAAACAGAGCTGGCTACATGGGCTTTTGTCTCCCCTAAAGGAGATTTAATAAATCCCCAAAATGTACATAACTGGATCAAAATACCCCCTGTATTTCATTAGCTCCTGTCTTGATGTAACCTCAAAATATCACTCAGCTATATTAAACACAATTCTGATCTTTTTATTAAAATACTACCTTCCAAGTTTGTCAGACACATTTGAGTTAATAGTGTGCAAAAAGCTCAACAAATTTTAATATTAAGATGTAAGGCTCCCACCACCACTCCTGGCACAATAGTTCAAAAACATCTGGTCAGATTTTCTTCAAAGTTATCCGTCCAAAGCTGGATTTTGTGGAGATCAAGCACGTGAATTTTAAGCCAAAAGAAACAGGTTTCCAAATTATAAGCATGCAAAATACTTAAAGGGCTAACATCTGAAAATACACACATATACAAAAGGTAAACTTACCTGTGGTAATGCAAGCAGGTAGGCAAGAGATAAGGTCATATCATTTGGTAAAGCATCACTAGCCAGTTGTAACAGAACTGAAATACATGGGGGAGGGAAAATAAAGCTTTGATTACTGATCCAATTGCCCTTCACAGTTCACAAGTGAAATATTTACATTGTAACCATATTTTTAGACTCTAGCTTGAAGCATTCTATATGTGTTAAATTAAACATTAATCAATGCAATCCAGGAAACGATAATGTGTAATTAAACTGCAATCCTGATTTATCTTAACTTCCAGACAAAGTACTTATACATTAACCAAAGAAGATGAAAAATTGCAGTAACAGACATTAAAGCAAACTGCGAAAACATTTTCTGTTCTGATTTACAACTAAATCTGTTAATTAAAAGAAAATCAAGTTACAAGAATTTAAGAAAACCAAGCAGAGGAATAATACAAAAATACATTGTTTTCTGAAGCTCAGTCATCAGATTCACTTGTATTCTGCATACAACAAAGAAATCAATTATTAATAAGCTTATCTTTAAATAAAAAGGCAACATGGTAATACATTATTTTAAAGGGAGACCTGTAGAATTAAGTATTGATTTCAGGAGTTATTATTTTGAATTTAGTTATTTTGAAATAATTTACTAGTTTATTCATGCCCTTAGACATCAGTAGTGGAATTTAATGAAAGGACACATAATTTAGTTTGATACGTTTTAGTCTAACATGGCAATAGCAAAAATATTCAGCTTAGCTTTGCAAAACATCAACCTGATTTAAATGAATAATTTTTTTAAAAATCCAAGGATTTAAAATTAGTCATTTAATTAATATGACTTTAAGCTTCTTCACCTTACACAGTTGAAAAAGAACAAGAAAATTAGCTGGTCCAGATTACACTTCTAAAAAAATAAGAAAATTAGCTATTTCACTAATAATTATATCTGAAACCTGTTTGACAGCTGATGAGATACCAACAGACAGAAGAGAAATACTGGTTGTGATCCAAAGTCCATTGAAGTTCATTAGCACCAATGTACTAGCAATTTTCAAATAAAATACAAAACTTTCCTTGCTAGAGCTTTCCCATCAGTGGAAAGGAATCATTGAGCTTCTAGGGCAATGGGAAAATGAGTATTGTTATGAATGTACTTCACCTGACAAACTGTAGGTATCTCCAGACAGGACAAGCGAAGTCCTGACTCTGAATCTAAAGAAAATTTCCTGACTTTCCCACTTTTCTACCCTGTGAAGCAGGTGACTGGAGAGAGTGCACAAGGAAAACCCAGTGTTCAAAATTCCAAAAGTAAATCTATCTCCCATCTCCCTTTCAGGGCATTTACATTCCCAATTTAACTGTCTAGGAAAAAAAATCTACGAATCAAGATGTCCAAAAAATTCCACCAATGAAGGTCTGCAGCCTGCCATTTGCTCTTGTTTGGAGGCATATACAGTAGTTAGGCCTTCTGATCTTAGGTTTTAATCAACAAACAATAAAATACCACTAATACAAAAAGAAACAAGTGTTTAATCAATAAAACATAAGAAAATACACAAAAAATAGTTACTGTCTTCCACCTAAGGACTTCAAGGAAATGCACAGGAATTTAAATTTCACGGCTTATGGGGGGGAGCATGTTCTGTGCTTCCATACCACCCCTAAAGAGCTCAGTAGGGTTGCCAGTTTTGGTTGGAGGTATTCCTGGAGAAGTCATCACATGACAATCTTTAAATAAAGATTAATCTTTAATTCTCAGAGACTCAGGCCAATCCTGGAAGGTTGGCAAGTCTAGCGCCCCTGCCAATTATTGGGTGGCCTTCTGCTCCTCCTTGCCAACCCTAGTACAGGTCCCTGAATGACTTGTGTAGCTAGAGCAGTCATGCAGAGTATACAAGTGTGACTTCTAAAGTGCGGCACATATCTGATTTGTGCAGATTCAGTTGGTGTGAACTAAAGGTTCTCTAGTGCACTTTAGAGATATTTGAAACATCAGAGATTACTTGGAGTATACACTACTGTAATAAGTAATGTATGCAACATATACATTATATAAAAAAATCCCTAAAAGTCCTGATTTTCTGTCATCTACATAAAATACAAAAATCGCTAAAATAAACTGATAAAAATGAAATTAATAAATTCTCAAATGGTTTATTCTTCCATCATTAAATCTCAATATACTTCCCCATTTTACAAATGGGACTCCTGAGGCACAGAGGCGCTGGGAGTTGCCAATGGTCACCGAGCAAACAGAGACAGTCAGAAACAGAACCCAGGTCTCCTGGTGGAGTGCTTAATGCATTAGAA